CTTATGATCATTGGAATAGTTATCGTCTCTTTTATTTATTTGAAAGAAACACCACATGGATAAGTTGTCGTCCATACAAATAATATTTGTCATGAAGAAACCAACATTTGCAGATACAAGACCTTCTCAGCTCTGCATTCACTGTACTAGTATTGATTAACTCAAACTCAGGGCCCAGGCCACGCTTAGTATTGAAGATGAGAGGAGTTCTCTCCCTTGTACTGCCTACGTCAACCAGTTTAAGTAGTCCTTGATGATTCATCACCTGTTCCCTACTACCTGATCATAGATATCAAGTACTTTGTCCTACAAGTAATCTTTGGGTTATTTTGTATTGGGAATAATGCAAATGATTTGAAAATAGTTCAATTTTGTTGAATATTTTAGATCAGGTAGAAAAGTAGATCACTTGGTCATGCCATAACTCCCCCAAAGTTCACTGTGTGAATCTGTTGTCTTATCAACATGGGAATCAAGATCATATCCCATATTGGTTACATGAGTGACGTCAAGAAACAAGTTGGGTTGACCTGCCTACACGACAACAGCCTCGCCAACATTGTAGGAGTGTAAACCCTTCATGCTGTGTATGTTCTGGGGTGCAGCTCAGCGCGTGGGTTGCATTTTGTAAACCAGTGTCTGATGCTGGAGGAGTGTGTGGTCAGTAGACCTGTCTCTGCACAGCCATGAAGAGGTATATCATATTTTTATGTAATTTTCATTCTACTTCTTTTTTAATTGTTTCAGGTTCTTGTTCTTGTTCTTTGTTATGTTTTTCTTAAATAACCCACAGTTAATGACTCAATATGTTTCATTAGGAAATTTGCTTAAATTCCAAGGGATCAAGTTCAATTCCACACGTCTGTGAGAAGCCGGTGTGGGATGGCTTGAATATTGCTATAAACATCACTCACTCACTCACTCACTCACTCACTCACTCACTCACTCACTCACTCACTCATCACTCACTCACTCACTCACTCACTCACTCACTCACTCACTCACTCACTCACTCACTCAGCATGGCTCTATGAGACTCCATTCATGGATAATCCCCCTACATGGTCAATCACTGAGACTCATGTTAATTGTAGCCCTTTATGTGGAGGAGGTGTCAGGGCTCAACATGACTTAGCTTGTGGAAAAGAATGCGTGTGCTGTTTTTAATGAGAACGGATGTGCAGAAGATTTATGCTACGCTGACTGGCAATTTGCTTATTTCTTTATGACGGGAAGTACCTAAGTTTTTTATGATTCACGTTTCCATTTACTGACACGCCTTTTTCCTTGTCATGGGACTCACCAAGTGAAGTCGTTATTTTGTGATGCTAAGAATACTGAATTTGCTGTACAATTTGGACATATCATATAGAATCTGGACACTGTACAATGTGGACATACCATATAGAATCTGGACACTGTACAGTGTGGACATATATAGAATCTGGACACTGTACAGTGTGGACATATCATATAGAATCTGGACACTGTACAATTTGGACATACCATATAGAATCTGGACACTGTACAGTGTGGACATATATAGAATCTGGACACTGTACAATGTGGACATACAATATAGAATCTGGACACTGTACAGTGTGAACATATCATATAGAATCTGGACACTGTACAATTTGGACATACCATATAGAATCTGGACACTGTACAGTGTGGACATATATAGAATCTGGACACTGTACAATTTGGACATACCATATAGAATCTGGACACTGTACAGTGTGGACATATATAGAATCTGGACACTGTACAATTTGGACATACCATATAGAATCTGGACACTGTACAGTGTGGACATACCATATAGAATCTGGACACTGTACAATGTGGACATACCCAGTGATTTATCTAGGCCTGCACAGAGGCCAATATTCGGCCCCAAGTCTGAAGAAATGTCAGAAACAATTCCAACATTGGAATTCCCACATTTGCCGATGTTCTGTAACTCATGCCCATATATTTTTGTAGATGTGTTACATTTGACCACAGTATCCTGCTTAACTTTTGATAGAGATCGACATCCAAGTCGGGACTGAATATGATTGTGGAGATGTTGTCATGCAAATAGTATTCAATATTGCCTTTGAACTGATTATTTCAATATAAAATGAACAAACCTTTCAAAAAGTTTTTAAATAGTATATACTACTTAAATTCTTTCATATTGCTTTTGTTAAAGTGTCAGTTCTATAAAAGTATGAGACCCATGAAGATCCAGGTTAGAATAGGTCTTCAGCAACCCATTCTTGACGTAAAAGGCAACTATGCTTGTCATAAGGATACTAATGGGATCGGGTGGTCAGGCTCGCTGACTTGGTTGATTCATGTCATCATATCCCAATTGTGTGGATCGATGCTCATGATGTTAGTCATTGGATTGTCTAGTCCAGACTTGATTATTTACAAACTGCCATCATGTAGCTGGAATATTGCTGAGTGCAGCATTAAACAACAAGCAAACATAACAAATTGTCATAGTATGTACTATGTATATTGTTCTTGACCACATATAGATCTTGATCATAACCGATGGTTAAATAAAATGAGATTGATGCTATGCACTAGATTTAACAACCATCACTTGCTAAACATGCTTTGATATAAATATTCATCACTGGTCTACAATGAGAAACAATTTGTTATCAAACTGTGTCTCCTGCCAAAACAGTCAAATGTCATTATTTTCAAAGCAAGGGATACCAGCTAGACCACTTGTTATCACATAGGTCCCCGAGAACAACAAGGTACCAGCTAGACCACTTGTTATCACATAGGTCACCAAGAACAACGGGGTACCAACTAGACCACTTGTTATCACATAGGTCACCGAGAACAATGAGGTACCAACTAGACCACTTGTTATCACATAGGTCACTGAGAACAACGAGGTACCAGCTAGACCACTTGTTATCACATAGGTCAACGAGAACAATGAGGTACCAACTAGACCACTTGTTATCACATAGGTCACCGAGAACAAGGGGGTACCAACTAGACCACTTGTTATCACATAGGTCACCGAGAACAACAGGGTACCAGCTAGACCACTTGTTATCACATAGGTCACTGAGAACAACGGAGTACCAGCTAGACCACTTGTTATCACATAGGTCACCGAGAACAACGGGGTACCAGCTAGACCACTTGTTATCACATAGGTCACCGAGAACAACGGGGTACCAACTAGACCACTTGTTATCACATAGGTCAAAGAGAACAAAAGTAAAAAATTAAGTCAATTTTTTTCTCAGTTGAAACTAAAACTTTCAACTTTGGTGGTTACTAAAACACTAATAATCTACTAAATGTCATCAAGATACCGTGTTGAGTTCCATAAACATATGATGTTGAAATGGAATATAATTTTTTCAAGGAACTGACCATTTCATGTTCCCCCTAGTTCGCCCCGATAATGTTTCTAGGTTAGACTGCACCATACCCATGCTCGTGGGTTTCACCAAAGTGGTAAACATCTGAGACCCGCATCACTTTGGGCTTTCCTCCCACATTAAGCTGACAAGCTGTGATATGACTGGAATATTGTTCAAAACAGTGTAAAACCAACTCACTCACTCAAGATGTATAAGTTTTTATAGGAAAGGAGGAGAACAAATCTTTTTTGTGATAAAATCTGTGTCAAAATTGTTTTTTTCATTGAAGCAATAAATTTCTTTTTAACCTACCCTACCCACCCACACCCCACCCACCCCACCCACATCCACCCACCCATTCTGTATAAGACAGATCTACACTTTGTGAAGCTGATGTTATGCTCTGTTCACACAGTGATCATGACACTGAGACAACTGTAGATCTGTGTTAACTACACAAGTGACAACAGTTCTAGGATCACAATGTGGCAAGGCATTAGTCCAAAGTGAGATTACATTTGCAACCATTTCTACCTCAAGTGATGAAACAATGACAAAAAGGTAAAGTTATGTTTTTGTATTTCAGTTTTGATGTGGAGAATGGTGCGGCCCCTGGCAGGAGTCCCCTGGAGGGTGGGGGGAGTCCATCGTCAGGGCTGGTCCTGCAGAACCTCCCCCAGCGCCGTGAGTCTTTCCTGTACCGATCCGACTCCGACTATGAGCTGTCCCCCAAGTCCATGTCTCGCCACTCCTCTATGCAGGGAACAGAACCTGTGTGAGTAGACACTCTTAGACACTCTTAGACTCTCTTAGACACTCTTAGACTCTCTTAGACTCTCTTAGACACTCAAAGAAACTCTTAAAATCTCTTAGAAACTCTCAGACGCTCTTAGACCCTTTTTAGCAGTCTTCTTGCCCCATGTGATGTGTTGGTCACAGTCCATGGTCGGCCACTTGTGACATGTGTTGGTCACAGTCCTTGGTCGGTCACTTGTGACATGTGTTGGTCACAGTCCTTGGTCGGCCACTTGTGACATGTGTTGGTCACAGTCCTTGGTCGGCCACTTGTGACATGTGTTGGTCACAGTCCTTGGTCGGCCACTTGTGACATGTGTTGGTCACAGTCCTTGGTCGGCCACTTGTGACATGTGTTGGTCACAGTCCTTGGTCGGCCACTTGTGACATGTGTTGGTCACAGTCCTTGATCGGCCACTTGTGACATGTGTTTGGTACGGCCCTTGTGAAGAGGGTTCTAAGTTTTAAATGGCAAGTAGGTCTTCAGGTAGTCCCAGAAATAAAGTGATCATAAAGTTTAGAAGGGAACCAGCAAGTATTAAAGGGGAATGAGTATGTGCTGCTAAGGGGGTGAGAATAGAATGGGGGTGAATGTTTTTCCAGGAACTATTATCCATATGTACACTGTATATAGCTTATAACCCTCCAAACATTGGCTGGTTTTCTGTCAAGAAAACTTTGGATCACCAGCTGTCATCAATCTGATCCTATAATTATTATTTTTTTAATATATTGATTAAATGATTATGCATTGTTGCTGGACCTTTTTCAGACTTCCTGACTTCAGTTTCATGTGTATAATGTCATACAATTTTTCATATGAACCGATTCAATTACGTTATAAATATCCATTCATCATATATATGTATCATGCTTATATGTACAATTGCATTAACTTTAAGACATGAGTTATTTTAACCTTCTCCTATTTGAAAGCTCAATCACAACAGTATTTCGAAAAGGCAAGGGCTCTGGAATGTGTTTTCAACATTTTGACAAATGTTAATCTTTTGGTGTATCTGGGTTGGAGTGTTTGATGTGATGTAGGAAAGGAATACATTCACTAGTCTCTAGAAGTCGATGCAAAGGTGAGTTGCCTCACACCTAAATTATCACCATCTTTATTTGGAAAATCAAACGGAACAAGACAATAATGGAAAACAGGGCTGAATGTGGAGCAGTGTTTTGTCTTGTTTGGCTCCTGCGGAAGACATCATCAAGTCACCATTGACGCCTTCCGGGGATGCTTCTGATAATTTGAATAATGAAAATGAGAGTTTTCTGTGGAGATGTTTCTCTGGATTGAAATGGAGTGAAGTACAAGTGTAAAGAAGCAGCTCCAGGTTCTCTGTGAGGAATACCAGTGGAAGAAATTGGTAGGAGATGGAATTATGTTTCAGAATAAGTTGTAAGTTCTGAAAGTCAGAGTGGATCTGACATGATCAACTGGATTTGATGAAGAATTAATTCATTCTGGTCCAGGAGACCTGCCATGTAATGCAAGTTTGTTCAGGCTGAAGTTCGGAAGAGAAATAGAGATGGCATTATATCAAAAAGTTTCCAGGAAATGGATATGAGGTGCAAAACATGCAAGAATGTCATGAAACTGTTTTAGGAGGTGAAATTGAAACAATTAGATTATGGTGGTTGTGTGAGAAAAGAGTTCCGCTGCCGTGAATCTTAATTGTTAAATGGGAGAATCTGTCAGATGAAGAAGAGATTTCATGGATTTTGTCATTTTTCAAAAGTTAATTCAGCCAAGTTAACCATACAGATAAAAATGGATTCTGTGAAGCTCGGACAAAATTCTCAAGCTCGTCATAAAAACAGGAGATTTTAAAATTGCAACTTGAATTGCTTGAGAGATGCTACACAGAACGACTGATAAAGTTTAAACACATGATGTTGTTACAAGTATTTAGAGGATAAACACAAAGGAGGAGGTTGAAGGCTATGTGGCCATCAGATGACAGCATCAGCCCCGGACTGACTGGAACAGGGAGAAGAATGCATGTCAACACAACAGAGGGATGGTGTGGTGATGCATAGACTTCAATACCTGGAAGACAAGGAGCTACAGACTAGCGGGGACATGTCTTGTCAAACACATCTCTGATTGTCTAAGTGGGAACAGATGTACGGAGTTGGAGACATCGTCTACGACAGCCTGACTCCGGATGGGCGAGTTGACTAGCTTCTGAAGGTAAGTGATCTGTTGTGTAGCTGTATTTACCTGTCGGTTATTGGATGCAGGATTAAACATCATTTTGTCTGACTGATGATGATGATGATGATGATGATGATGTAATATATTTACAGGGGATCTTTATCTCTGTGGAAATATTGAGTTTGGGGGGCTATTGTCATACATGTAGTTGGTATCTGGTCTGAAACATGCACCTGCACCCATGAGATTGTGGTGTGAATTGTGCATCTACTCAATACACAAATCTACTTAATGCACAGATCTGCTCAATACACAAATCTACTGAATGCACAGATCTACTCAATACACAAATCTACTGAATGCACAGATCTGCTCAATACACAAATCTACTGAATGCACAGATCTACTCAATACACAAATCTACTGAATGCACAGATCTACTCAATACACAAATCTACTGAATGCACAGATCTACTCAATACACAAATCTACAGAATGCACAGATCTACTCAATACACAAATCTACTGAATGCACAGATCTGCTCAATACACAAATCTACTGAATGCACAGATCTACTCAATACACAAATCTACTGAATGCACAGATCTACTCAATACACAATTCTACTGAATGCACAGATCTACTCAATAGACAAATCTACAAACATCTCTTGAAAACACACATCTCTTGAAAAAGCACATCTACTGAAAACAAATCTACTGAATAGACACATCTACTGAATAAACAGACCTACTGAAAACACACATCTATTGAATAATAGATCTACTGGTATCACAAGTTTACCTTCGGCCCCTTGTGTAGCTTGCAGCAAAAGAAAAGCATTAATTATAGATGATGTATGGCTTGTTGTACACCGAGTTCATTACCAGACCCAGATCAGGCGTCAAATTAGATCTCTTAAATCTCTCAGAGGCTTATTAACACAATACACAGGAGAGGTTATCTTGTGGATGGTTTGGTGTCAAGTCAACACCATTGACCCAACACTGATAAACCCCATCATATTATTTTTTAAAATGAGTGTCAGTTTAGTTACGGAAACATTTTGTGTTTTTTTTTTTTTAAGAATTAAATAGAATCCCAACATGTTGGAAAAAATGAAATTGGCAGTGCAAGCATTTTGAAATATTTGTCGTCTGTTCATCTTGTGTGCAGCGTATTGTGCAGAGTGCAGTTGTTCACCTGCACTGGGGACCTCATCATGTTGACATTAGGTTGTTTATCACCTGCTGAAGGAACAGGTATCAACAAGTGAATGGCTCCAGGTGACAGGTGATTGTTGTACCTGTACTACCTGGTCGGCGGTGTAGCCCGCACTGGCTCCATTGGGCAAACCAGGCAGGTGTCGAGTATAGAGTGGTGGGATGATGGATAATCAACAGTTAAATTAGATGATGATGATGCTGTTGATAATGTTGTTGATAATGAGGATATGATGATGATGATGATGATGATGATGATGCTGCTGCTGTTGATAATGTTGTTGATGATGAGGATATGATGATGATGATGATGATGATGCTGTTGATAATGTTGTTGATGATGAGGATATGATGATGATGCTGTTGATAATGTTGTTGATGATGAGGATATGATGATGCTGTTGATAATGTTGTTGATAATGAGGATATGATGATGCTGTTGTTGGTGGTTATGATAATGATGATGATCCTGTTGATAATGTTGTTGATGATGATGGTGCTGGGGATGGTGATGATGATGTCGTTGATGATGATTATGATAATGTGTGCAGCATGAAGAATGGAGATTTCCGTGTAGAACCTGCTTGATTATTCCCAATGTCCAATCCTTCTCTTATACTACTGGTCATGGATAAGAAGTGAATCTTCATACAATTGACTTTGTAATGTTTGGATCATTTCCACTGGTCGAGTTGTCATCATCAGTGTTGTGGGGAGGTTGGATACAAGAGTTACTTCCCCTGCTGTATAAAGTTATTGCCAGGCTTCATACGGTGGCCCAGTTCAAGGCAAGTTTACACCACGGCTCTACTCAGACCCTGGTGCAGCTGTGACTGAGGAGGATGAGAGGATATAGACCTACTAAACCCCACTCCCAGAGAGCACTTGGTGCTGGATCTTGATGTACAGGACAGGATTTCCTAGTTTGTGGTACAGTATTTAAGCTTGATTCTGCTAGCATCTTTCTGTGCATTCAAACAAGATAAGGTTATTTTTTGTATTTGTTTTGGTGGTATTTTTGGTATTTATTTGTTGATGTTTTCAATCTGTTGTATGTTAGGGTTAATATATGATCTGATTAATAATGACAAGAAGGGATAGTTCAGGAAAACAAAGTGTTTCATTATTCAGGGTTCACGAGTAATCAGTATTACAGAGAAATAAAGCGCAGGCGACACTCAGAGAAACTTGTGGGAAACTGTCCTACACTCATTGACTTCATGAGGGGAATCAAGTGTGAGTGTGTCAGAGTGTATGAACTTGGGAACAGGCAGGAAAGTGTTAAAACGTTCTTTGAAAAACTTGACCAAATTTGTAAAATCATGGAGATTAAGAGATTCTCAACCCCAACTCACTATTTTAAAGAAATGGTGTCTTGCTGTTGTCTGAGAACTTTTGAGAGAAGCTTTGAGGCCACAGCAAATTAATATTAGATTTTATTCTCATGCATATTTTAAAAAAATGGTTGATTGCATGTCATCTTTCCCAATTGTGTAGATCAATGCTCAATATGCCAATCACTGGATTGTCTTGTCCACACTGTGCAGGGGGATATAGTTGACGCCTCTTCCGTCTGTCTCTTCATCTACCATCCGTCTGACTGTAATCATTTCGTTTCTGGAGCATAACTCGGAAACTGTTCAATATTTTTCACCAAACATTGGCAGATATATCAAACAGATCCTAAAGTTGTGCCTTTTACCATTTTCAGATTTTGGGCATTTTTATTTTTCTCTATTTCCATGGAAGCAATTTGTATTTGTCTCATAAGGGGGTGGATTCTGTTTTCAAAACACAACTCAATAACCATTGAATATCTTTTCACAAAACTAGGCAGATATCTCAAACAGATTCTGAAGTGGTGCTGTTTGCTATTTGCGGATTTTTGTCATTTTTTTTTTCTCGATTTCCATGGAAACTAACTTGGACTTCGTCTCCAAAGAGTCATTTCCGGAGCACAACTTGAAATCTGTGAAAGACTTTTCATCCAAACCTGGTACATATATTAACCAAGGACCTTTTGCTTTTTGCTATTTAGGAATTTTTCAAAATTTGATTTTTCCCTGTTTCCATGGAAACAAGTTAGACTTACCTGAAACGCAGGTAGGTGTTGTTTCCGGAGAACGAAAAAAACTATTCAACATTTTTCATCCAAACTTGGTACATGTATTAATCAAGGGTTGGTGCCTTTTGCTATGGAGAAAAGTTTTTAGAATCTTTTTCACATTTCCATGGCAACAAGTATGACTTTGACTCTGTTAGTGGTGTGTTTGTCTGAACAATATATCTCTAAAACTAATTAGTATTTTTGCATGACACTTTGCACACACAAAGACCAGAATGTCAAATGGTGCCATTTGCTACTTAGGGAATGATGGAAGGCAAGATGTTTGGCAGCGTTCGAAATACCTGCCTGCCCGACCGTCGGAGACGGGTTGATTTCAACTCGGGCTGCCAGATTTTCAAATCCCCCTGCCCGACAGTCAGGTTATATTTCATTTGTGAAAATATTCTAAATATTTCCCGATGATAAGCATTAATTCACATGTAAAGTTGAATGATAAAATGTAACCAAAAAGAAACCCTGTTAGCTTTTAGACAACCTAAAATTTAGGCCCTATTTAGGAATAAGGATATTTACATGATGTATTCTAGGATATTAAATACAAATCTGACCTAAAAAGTGTTTGCTATTTCTTTTCTTGCATTACTTCATGTTCAATGAATTCGATTTAAAGATTTAATTAAATTATACTGAGAAACATATGATTATAGTGGGCAGGCAGGTTTTGGTCAGGGCTGGCAAGTATTTCAGCTAGCCAGTCCTGTGGTCTGGCTGAAATTTTTGGGAGTTTCATACCCTGTGTTTGCCAGTGAGGCAGGTTGTGAGGTTGTGATATTGTATATACTTCATCATAAAGTCAGTATCTCCGTCACAGATGTGTTGGAGATGAGGATAATGACCTTGAAGCTCTCATTACTGAAAGTAGTCGCCCCACGGCTCCAATATTTTCTGGTCAAATCAGAATTTGCTGAGTTAGAAATCTGTAGATGATCAGGTACAGCTGTTGCAACAGTTGAATAAATTACAATAGCAATGTTGGGTGAGATAGAATCATACATGCAGTTACGGAGATAACATGGAGGCCCCGTCGTCTAAGGAGCTACTGTTTATTGTGTTGTGTTAGAGTCCCGTAGGCGCCCCATGTACCTGTGATCATGGTTCTGTAGGCGCCCCACATACCTGTGATCATGGTTCTGTAGGCGCCCCACGTACCTGTGATCATGGTTCTGTAGGCGCCCCATGTACCTGTGATCATGGTTCTGTAGGGCCCCACGTACCTGTGATCATGGTTCTGTAGGCGCCCCACATACCTGTGATCATGGTTCTGTAGGCGCCCCACGTACCTGTGATCATGGTTCTGTAGGCGCCCCACGTACCTGTGATCATGGTTCTGTAGGCGCCCCACGTACCTGTGATCATGGTTCTGTAGGCGCCCCACGTACCTGTGATCATGGTTCTGTAGGCGCCCAACGTACCTGTGATCATGGTTCTGTAGGCGTCCCACGTACCTGTGATCATGGTTCTTTAGATGCCCACGTACCTGTGATCATGGTTCTGTAGGCGCCCCACGTACCTGTGATCATGATTCGAATACCGGTTCATCCTGATTATGTTTTGAGGTTTGTCAGCACCACAGACATTTTCTTGGGTTTCATCAAATGGTAACCCTCTGTTTGGAAGGCCTGTTCCATGTGCTATGTAGGATGATGAGTGAGTGAGTGAGTGAGTATGGTTTTACGCCGCTTTT